TCCCCTATCTGATGCAAGTTCCTTTGTGGTACTTTATATTGTTACATCAGTATACTTTTCTGGAGTCATGGTAAGCATAATAGTGGAGGTGTTTTCTCATTCAATTGCCTTTTTAATATTTTATTGAAGACATAATCTTGATGAATATCAGGTTCGCTTGATGCTTGTACTTGCTCCAGCAGCATGTATATTGTCTGGGATTGCCCTTTCTCAGGCTTTTGATGTTTTTACAAGATCTATCAAGTTTCAGTTGCCTCACTTATCAGATCATTCTCAGGTTGATGTAAGCTTTATTTTTTTAACGGTCACCAGTTTTGACTTCATATGTTCTTCTGCTCGTTTTATTAGTTTGCTTTGTTCAAATTCTGTTTTTTATTATCAAGGCAGGGGAAGGCAGTTCTGAAAATATTGTGCCAAATGATTCGGTTAAGGCAGATAAAACTGAGGACACATCAAAGGAACGGACCTCTAAGAAGAGCAAAAAGAAGGAAAAGGAACCTGTGGAAAAGCCTCTTAGCAAGTCACAAATTAAGAAAAGGCTTTCGGTTTTACCTCTGGAAACATCCGTCATTGCTATTATCTTACTTGTGTTGCTAGGCGCCTTCTATGTGGTAATTTCCTAAGCATGATATTGTTCAGTTAAAGTTTCCTAAGGTGGATTATTTATTTGATATTTCTTTTTTTTTTTGTTTTTTCTCCACTAGGAGTATGAAGTCCAAGTAGGTGGATTATTTATTTGATAAAGATTTCTTTTTTATTTAATTAATATATTTTATTAGCCTTCTTTTAAAATTCACTTTCCTTCTTAAATGAACCCCTTGATTCCTGGTATCATATTACATTCCCAAAAATATTATGTCAAGGAATATTATTTCCCTTGAACATGTTTGATTGACATTTAGCAATTATAGAAAAGAATATTTTTAATCAACAATTAAAAGAAGAATAAAAGTGGGAAAATAAATGTGATGAAATAATGAAGTGGCTGAGAGGTAGTTATTATAAATAGTAACTTCCATTCCGATGGGAATTGGGAATGTTATTCCAAAAAGTGAACCTAACGTTAATATGTAACATTCTGAAGCTTACTTTCCTATGAATCCTTTATTATACCTTGAAACAAACGCCTAGTTAAAAAGTGTAGAACTGTGCTAGTTAATACTCAAGTAGAAGTATAATAACTTGTGTTGATTTTTTTTAATTTCTTTCTGAACAATAGTGCCCTTTCGTGTTCAATCTGTATGTTACAAAAAAGTTCCTCTCTATCTTGATCTCAAATGTAGGTTCACAGTGTATAGGCAGCAGCAGAAGCTTATTCAGCCCCTTCTATTGTTTTAACATCACATTCACACGACGGGCTTCATGTTTTTGATGATTTTAGAGAGGCATATGCTTGGCTGAGTCATAATACAGAAGTAGATGATAAAGTAAGTTCTATGGGATTTTGTTATTTTTTGGCTGAAATACATGTGTCATGTGTGCTATTTTTGAAATTTATGAGTGTTGGTTAGCTTCCATGGCTTCCTGAGTTTTGTGCTAATTTATGAAATTTAGATTATGTTTTGAAATTAAAGAATCTTCTGCTACTTAAATTTAAATGAACCAATTTGACAGATGATGTTTCCGTTGGTGAACTAAATTGGCCATTCAGTAGTTTGATATTATGTAAAAGGTGAAAGTCAATTGAGACTGAGGTGATTTAACTGATGTTATATATTACCTTGGGCACACAACATTCCTTTTACAAATTATTGTTCCCCGACCATGTTGGTTCCTTTTCCACTTGTGATCAGTGGAAATCTATTGAGAAGTTACTTATTCTTTATTAATATGCTTCATAATTTCAAAAGGGATTATGTGAAAATTGGTTAATGATATTCGAATTTTGGTTAAAGCTTTAAGCAAATATTGTTTTATTTAAGTAATTGGGTAGTGCTTCTAAATTACAAATTTTGTGGCTGAAGTTCCTAAACTGTTTGCGCCCTAAGATTATTCTTACTCCAAATGAAGAAAAAACATGCTGGTTAAAACAGTAAAAAATGTTTAAATATTGACGCTGATTAAAATTGTTGTAGGTGGCATCTTGGTGGGACTATGGGTACCAAACAACTGCGATGGCTAACCGAACAGTCATTGTGGACAATAACACCTGGAATAACACACATATTGCTACTGTTGGTACTGCCATGTCTTCTCCAGAGAAGGCAGCTTGGGAAATTTTCCAGTCACTGGATGTCAAATATGTCCTTGTTGTCTTCGGAGGTCAGCATCTTTTTCTTTATTGGGTTATCCTAAGGCACCTTGTTCTGATTAGATGCTATAATTATTAACAGGACTGGTTGGCTATCCCAGTGATGATATCAATAAATTCCTGTGGATGGTTCGTATTGGAGGGGGTGTATTCCCTCACATAAAGGAACCGGATTATTTAGTAAGTTAAATTAATCCTGCGTTGCTCAATGTTTTATCCTGGCCTTGATATTTTGTTTTCTAGAATAGATGACACTATAGCTTCACTTGTGATATAACTTTTGAGGAGTGTTAACTTTTTTTTTTCAAATTTCAAGAGGGATGGTCAATATCGGATTGATTCCATGGCCACACCAACAATGCTAAACTGCCTCATGTATAAACTTTCATATTACAGGTCAGCTTTTGTCTAAAATTGGTTTTCAAATTTAACGTTTCCAGCTGGTATGGTGCCTAACTCCCCTTGCTCTGCTTTTTCTCCAGGTTTGTGGAGACAGATGGTAAAGCTTTCGACAGAGTGAGGCGGACAGAAATTGGAAAAAAACATTTCAAACTTACGCATTTTGAGGAGGTTAGATTGTTTTTATTGATTTGTTAAAATATTATATTTGGAACTGTATGTTGTTGTGTGCTTCAGCTATTATGATCCTGAAATTATTTTCAGTGCATTCATGATGAATTACATACTGAATAACCATGGAATTTGTTCTACAATATACGGAGAACCTACCAGTGCGGTGCAATGTCTTCAATAATTCATTTATAATGTTCCAGATGTGTTAATTGTTACAGAGTCTCTATTTGTGTTTGGATAGTTATCTTGCATCGTTCCTCGATAGTCTACTATAGTGGTAATAAACTTTACCGTTTGAAATTTTGGAGAGTATATTTTATTTTACCTGTAGTTGTCATTTTTATACGATTCTATTAGCTTTTGCTATATTTTTTTTTTTGGGTTAAATATGTTTTTGGTCCCTTAACTTTCAGCGAAAATTGGAATTAGTCCCTCTTCAAAACTTTGGCCTAATTTAGTCCCCAAACTTTAAAAATGTGTGAATTTAGTCCTTTTAACTAAATTTTGTTAGGTTTGTTTGATGTTTTAAGTGCATTTCATGATAGCATTTGAGTTGTTTATCTCGTTTGACACATTTTTGCTTCAATGTTCACTGATAAATGCGTTTGAAACATCAAATAAAGTTAACAAAATTTGGTTAAAAGGACTAAATTCACACATTTCTAAAGTTTGGGGACTAAATTAGTCCAAAGTTTTGAAGAGGGACTAATTCCCATTTTCTCTTAAAGTTAAGGGACCAAAAACATATTTAACCTTTTTTTTTTTAACAATCTATGCTTTTTACACCCTCTTTAGTACCCATAACTCCAACTGATGGTTTGGTCTCTCTCAAGTTCTAGTTGAAATACTCAAATTTTTAGGTTTGGAATATAGAGTTCTTTGAAGTATTAGCCATTCTATATTTTTTTGCCGGTTTACTTGGCGTTTATTGTACTAGTAAAACTTAAAAGTCGTATATTTGGGTTTTTTGTTCAATATGTTGGATATTGTTAATAGCAGTAGTATTGTATTATTCTAGAATCCTCTTAAGAATTATTTGGATAAGTAAATGCATTTAATTATATGAAAATGTTGTAGGAAGATCTCCAATGGGGTTGCAGTGGGGGCTGTAAAATTTCTACTTTTGATTCCTTAATTAGTACTCAAAATTCGTTTGTTAACAATTTTCTTCTAGTTATTATGATGAGAATTAATAATTTCAGTAGCTTCTGTGGTCTTTAGTCTTACTGATGACATGGTTTTCAATGCATTTAGGTCTTCACAACTCACCATTGGATGGTTCGGATATACAAGTTGAAACCACCAAAGAACAGGATAAGAGGAAAGACTAAGAAGTCGAAATCGGTGAGTATATGATTGTTTCCTATGTGCCTTAATTCCTTAATATTTGTAGTTGGAGATCACTTTAACCTAGCCATGACTGGTCTCTGGTTTCCATGTTCTGCAGAAAACAAGCTCAAAAACTGCCTCGAAAAGAAAAGGACTAAAGAGGAATCCCTTTTAGTTTAGATTTTTCATTTCCTTGGGTAGGGGTAAGCTTATTAGTGTGCGTTTCATGTATACATGTAGACAACTAATGCAATTGCCATGAAAGAGATTTTGCCGGCATGGTTGGTTACTCTCGAGTATCGAATGATCAAATGAAAATTTTGGAATTCCATATTTTGACCCAATTTGTAAGATCTCATTTAGGATTGAAATTCCTCTCAGCAAAATGATTTCATGTTAATTTTCTGGCCAGGGTATTTATTTAAATGTGTTTAAAAGAATAAAAAAAAAGGATATACCTTTCTGCTAAATGATTAAAAATAAGTTCTGAAGATTTTCAAGACACTTAATTGCTACTGCCCTGTACAAAGTTTAAAAAAGATTAGCGTTTTTCCGTTTAAAATAGTTTGTTAACGTCAATTACTGCTNTTAGTCCCTCTTCAAAACTTTGGCCTAATTTAGTCCCCAAACTTTAAAAATGTGTGAATTTAGTCCTTTTAACTAAATTTTGTTAGGTTTGTTTGATGTTTTAAGTGCATTTCATGATAGCATTTGAGTTGTTTATCTCGTTTGACACATTTTTGCTTCAATGTTCACTGATAAATGCGTTTGAAACATCAAATAAAGTTAACAAAATTTGGTTAAAAGGACTAAATTCACACATTTCTAAAGTTTGGGGACTAAATTAGTCCAAAGTTTTGAAGAGGGACTAATTCCCATTTTCTCTTAAAGTTAAGGGACCAAAAACATATTTAACCTTTTTTTTTTTAACAATCTATGCTTTTTACACCCTCTTTAGTACCCATAACTCCAACTGATGGTTTGGTCTCTCTCAAGTTCTAGTTGAAATACTCAAATTTTTAGGTTTGGAATATAGAGTTCTTTGAAGTATTAGCCATTCTATATTTTTTTGCCGGTTTACTTGGCGTTTATTGTACTAGTAAAACTTAAAAGTCGTATATTTGGGTTTTTTGTTCAATATGTTGGATATTGTTAATAGCAGTAGTATTGTATTATTCTAGAATCCTCTTAAGAATTATTTGGATAAGTAAATGCATTTAATTATATGAAAATGTTGTAGGAAGATCTCCAATGGGGTTGCAGTGGGGGCTGTAAAATTTCTACTTTTGATTCCTTAATTAGTACTCAAAATTCGTTTGTTAACAATTTTCTTCTAGTTATTATGATGAGAATTAATAATTTCAGTAGCTTCTGTGGTCTTTAGTCTTACTGATGACATGGTTTTCAATGCATTTAGGTCTTCACAACTCACCATTGGATGGTTCGGATATACAAGTTGAAACCACCAAAGAACAGGATAAGAGGAAAGACTAAGAAGTCGAAATCGGTGAGTATATGATTGTTTCCTATGTGCCTTAATTCCTTAATATTTGTAGTTGGAGATCACTTTAACCTAGCCATGACTGGTCTCTGGTTTCCATGTTCTGCAGAAAACAAGCTCAAAAACTGCCTCGAAAAGAAAAGGACTAAAGAGGAATCCCTTTTAGTTTAGATTTTTCATTTCCTTGGGTAGGGGTAAGCTTATTAGTGTGCGTTTCATGTATACATGTAGACAACTAATGCAATTGCCATGAAAGAGATTTTGCCGGCATGGTTGGTTACTCTCGAGTATCGAATGATCAAATGAAAATTTTGGAATTCCATATTTTGACCCAATTTGTAAGATCTCATTTAGGATTGAAATTCCTCTCAGCAAAATGATTTCATGTTAATTTTCTGGCCAGGGTATTTATTTAAATGTGTTTAAAAGAATAAAAAAAAAGGATATACCTTTCTGCTAAATGATTAAAAATAAGTTCTGAAGATTTTCAAGACACTTAATTGCTACTGCCCTGTACAAAGTTTAAAAAAGATTAGCGTTTTTCCGTTTAAAATAGTTTGTTAACGTCAATTACTGCTTCTCTTGTTTTAACAGTTTCTTAGCTTTCGTGTTGCCTGATTTACAACACAAATATTGATTGTAATTTAAAGCAAACATTTTAGGTATTTGAACAACACGTCATCAATCAAGAGTACGGAATCGGATTTTTCACATTAATAATAAATTTAGTCTTCGAATAACTAATTTATTAATAAATGCCTCGAAGATTAATAAAGTCACACAAATAAATAATTTGTTTCATTTACGAAGAACAAGCTCAGATTGTTTGTTGGGAGGGGCCAAGGGGAGGAGATTACATCGTTGCACAAATAAATGAACCATTCAATTCAAAATAATAAAACAAACTGTAAGTAACTATAAATACTTCTTTGTATTACAATGCCGTCAGTAATTGCTTTGGACAAGAACCAAAAATAAGCCAACAAATTAGCAAGCCAAGAATCACACCTGTACAACGTATACTTCTGAGCATTATTGACGATACGGCACCATATTTCCTAGAGTTTGATCAGTAAGAGAGTATAACGCACAGTTGCACCCACCTTTACTTCAATCGTATCCTCAAAAACCAAACAGTGTTTCAACACAAAAATGGGTCTAAAAATCTATAATGGGTGGAAGGCGTGGCATATCAGAGTGGTTACTTGTCAATTGTTAGACTCAAACCTTCGTGGGCAAGTTGTAGTTCTTCTTAAGGAACTTAGCAGCTGCTTCATCATTCCTGTTACACAATACTCGCAAAAGAGTGTTTGGTTCTGTGGGGCTCCATTGCTCAGCTGTTGGAGGCAATGGAAGCCTGGACTTGGCTGTAGAACCATACATTTCCATCGTAAGCTGACTGAATTGCTGAATTATGTGCTCAGTATCTGCAGAAAACAAGGGAAGTACACCTCTGACAGTGGTAGAATGTCTTTCTATCAAATCTGTTGGCAATCCGTCTCCATTAGACCAGAACAAGCCAGTAAGAAACTTGAAATCTTCCTCTATAATGACAGAATCTTGCAGAGAGAATGCGCGCGACGGACCTCCAGCTAACAAAACCAGTAAGAACCCATCAAAAGAAGCCCGCATTACTTCAACAATTACACGAGTTCTAACTTTATCATGCACTGTAGATGATATGATCTCCAGGTATTGCTCAAGCTCCTGAAGAAAAAGATCAATCCTGGCAGATGCAACTTGCCCAACATATAGCCCATCCCAGAGAACATGACTCAGATCATGGAAAACGATTTTGTATGCTATGCATTCGCAGAGTTGATGAATGCCTTCCACAGCAGCAGATGCAGAAAGCTTGAACTTCAAGCTCACCCCATTTGCTATATCGTCTGTAGCAGATTTAGAACTGCTGAGATTGGCAACTATCCTCTTCTCCAAAACCCCTAACTCCATTCGAATGCGCTGCATGGTATTGATGCGAACAGACATCTGGGCTATATCAATTGAGCTGTTTCCATTAGTGGTTCCAACATGGGCTTTCCTCCTCTGAGCCACTTGTGACTTTTCTTTCTTCCTGAATACACCATTGAATTTTGATTTCGTTGAACACCTAGTCAGTTCAGGCAATGGTGGGATGAAGCTACTAGGGCTCCCTGCAGATCAAAGAAAAGGGAAATCCTTGTCAAACAGTGATTCAAAAATTTCCCTCAGAAAAATAAATGTTATGCAATACATATATACCACAGCCAGATTTGGCTTTCAAAATATACTGTTGGAGGGACTTGTCAAGACCAGACATCAAATCAGGAAGCAAATCAGCATGCATGGGTATAGGCAACAGAAAGAAAGCCTCCAGAGTATCATCTATTATTCGTAGAACTTCAACAGCAGAAGGTGCAAAGCCCTCTTTATTTGCCTGTGGATTCCATACCTATGGGAAGCAAAGGTGAAGTTAAAATTACATCTTTTAAACTTGCCAACAACATCTTCAAATAACCTCAAAAAAATTCAATGGAAGGAGAAACACTTTGTTTGATAAAAGAAAGAACAAATATTATGTTCACTTGATAAGATTAAGAGCAACAACCTCTTGTTGGAGATTTCTGTCAACCCATTCCCCCAATCTATCTACTCTGATCTTTATCCATGACTTAACCAGAGTAGCAATTACAGCTTCAGCTTCATAAGGTTGCATTTCCCTTATAATGGATTTTCCGCCATCTTCACTCTCAACAGAATCGGCCACTGCTATCTGCACCAGATCTTTCTCCAATTTGTCGGCAGCCATCAGCACTTCTATTGCATCAGGTGTCAACTCATTAATACCCTTAACATACTTCTTCAACTCATTTCCATAACACACATGAAGGGTGGCAATGGCAACACCAGCAGCGTGAGGATGCCATCTCTTCAGTTTGGGGCTAAATATTGCTTTCTCATTATAAGCCAGTTCAGTAATATCTCGAGCAAGGATAGAAAGAATGGGAAAGGCTTTATTCTGTTTTCTTGGTGGATGCTTGTTAGGGTCCAGTTTCTCCAACTTCTGCCTTAAAGAAGATCAAAAAGAGTTAGCTCGTACTGAGGCACCACATTAGGAAAAATCAAAACGTTGATTTTATCCAGTTTCAGTCAGTGGTATCAAAAGTAAACCATACATACAAACATGTCATAACTTGTCATGTGTAAAGAAAGTATTCATATTTAAGGGAGATGGAACGAATGACAGAACTTGCCTGAATGAAAACAGCATGCAAAGATGATCTAATATAATTATCAACTCTAGTGTATTCTACATCATCTTCTTTCTTCTTCTTCCGATTGTAGTCATGAGAGAAATCTTCTAATATCTTTGCTGATAATACTGCAAGTGAAACTACACTTTCCATTGATTCAATATTACCATCATCGAAAGTATCATGGTATGCAAGGAGCCTTTTCTCTGCCCAACTTAATATCAAACTCAATGTGTTTCTCAAAATTTTTGAACAAAGAGGATCTTTTGAGACCCCACTATCTTTCCCAACTTCTTCCAATAAATTACTAGATGCAAACAGAAGATCGTTCTCCCCTTGGCCAGTGACAACATACCTATGAAACAAGATCCATGAGAAACAAATGTTATGCAGCGTCTCATTAATTCCAAGCATAACCCAGGTCTTCTTAATGAGTTCTAAGACCTCATCAACCTCTTCTATCACAGAAGATTCAGCATGAAGATCAAAACATGCTTCCAAAAGAGTTTGGTAGATCCAAAGGTTCAGTGGAAAACCATCAGCCCAGTGGCATGTCTCAGAAATAGATCCACTAGGTGATCTGCAAGCAAGAGACAATACAGCAGTCCGAAAGGTTTGTATTGATTCACCGTTCTTTCCAATATCCATGGATTTCTCAAGTGCTCCATGGATTATGTGCCGGAGGGTCTGTGCAGAAGGGTCTGATTTATCTAAGGGAAGATACGGATGCAAGAGAAGTCCCACTTCAAGAACCTTCAAATGTCTCCTCAGCCAAACCTCATACTCTTGTTGACTGGGAATATCAGAACTCCTAAACAGCTGGATTAACTCCAGAGGAAGAACAACTGTCTCCATGCGTCTTCCAAGCTATTTCATGAACAAACATCTAGTAGTAAGTTATTACTGTAATTAAACAGATACAACGAACCATAATGCACATATTCAAACTATAAATTTTGATCCACATGTTTCCATCCAACTATAGACAAAGAAATGAAGTGAAATTGACCCTTTTGTAACAGTAGGAAGCATATCCCACTTAATGACCAAACAAACAATAAACAGAAGTTATATTATGCAATCAATGATAACTGATGTTTATTAGCTTCTTGTCTGTCTTCATATAGTTTTAAATTATAATTGTGTTTTTTTTATGAAAAGCTACAGCTCAGTGGTCAGCAACTTGAAAATCAGGTCAGCTAAATCACATTAGGCCCATTCAATAACTTTGGACTGAGGTTTGTTGAGTCTATTGTGCCACCTGTGATATTAGACATTGAAGATAGAATGTGTCAAGCATCGTTGCCACCCATCATGAGCAACAACCTATGAATCACCAATACTTCAATTTGTTTCTAATAGTCTCAGATATTTCACAAATACATATTAAGGAAGTATCCAAGCCTTTAAATGATGTTACAAACACTCAATAAAACTTCTTAGTACAGAACATAGAAGCAAGCACTGTTTCTAATGAGCCAATGAAAACTCTTTACAAATGATTTCTAGAAAGAAATTAGATTGATATGATTCATATTTGCAGACTGTATTTATGATGACAATGATTTATAATTTCTCTTGTTATAGTAATGTTCAATAAGTATGATCTTAATTTAGATTACAAAATTGAAATTTCATATTTATTATGTTTTATGAACTTTTATACTCATTAGATAAGAATATTACACACATGGCATTGTATATATTTTTAGGACAATTGTATTAGATACGGTATCTTACACGTACACATCACATGTACTTTTAGAATAATCAAATTGTCGTATCATATTTGTGCATCATAGGCAACGACAAACGATGAATTCTGCAGCTTTGTCATCAGGTATAGCACAAGTTACAAAACTGTGAAAATCAAACAGTAATTACTTATGTCCTTGCTTAAAACCTAAGTATAACATTCCATCTAATCTCTACACACTTCAGTAGTCAAATCAAGTCAAACTAAGTGCAATTCACTCATTAGGACAACCTGAATAAGGTAAAGATGAACAAAACTTCCACTGCAAGGCAAGCACAACTTAAGCAAAACTCAATTTATGAGTCCAAATTAAACCCTTTAATCAAACCTTAA